CACACGGCTTGACTATTAGTGTCCAAGCCCAATTCAGAGTGCACAGGTTAGTTTCAGAAGTCCTAAAGAACATGGGACTCAAATATCTCACTATTTTCAGATCCATCCCTACATAAGAACCTCATTTTCACCAATAATAGGCAAGTGTTTCAGGCATTGTAGGAAGAAGAGATGGGAGCTTACCTGTAAATGGCTCACACAGGTGAATGGCCATCTGTTCAGAACAGGGGCTTCTATCTGCTCTCGTGGGGCTTTTCAAGGTTCCTGCTTCATCCTCAGTAGCATTGGCAGCTGTTACACGAGTTTCACCTTTCCATAAGCCTCTCTCCAGAGCTTGAGCCGCAGAGGGGCAGATGATACCAGAAAGCCGTTTTACAATAAACAGCAGTGCAAGGCAGCACAAAGCAAGTGTTATCCCACCATTTCAAATGCATCCCTGCCCCCATCTCTTTCCTTGTTGCCAGAAATCTTGTGAACCACCCGGATATCTTCAGATGAAGGGCAGTATATAAATTTAATATAATTAAATTAAATCCAGGCTTTTAGAGAAGTGGGTTTCTTGCATAAAAGTGCTCAATCCATGACAACTGCGCAACCAGAATCTTGCCAGTAGGTGACTGAATCTCACCCAAAAATAGTGACAGTCAGGAGGTGCCCTTAGACAACAATCACTGGATTTCTAACATCTGAGGCCCAAAATGAATTGGGTGGTGGGACACTGAAGTGGAGAAACTGCAGGAAAACTCACCTCCTGCTGCTCCCCCAAAAAAAATACTGTTCTCCAGGCCATTTCCCCCTTTCTGGATGCAAACCTCTGCTGCGAGTTAAATATGATGGGAGCAGCAAGGGTTAAGCCATCCCTTTTTACCTGCTATACCTCTGTATTCCCTCCCAGCATCAAAGGCTGGGAGCCAAACTGAACCATTATTTAAAAATCTTTATTTAACCCATAGCTGTCAATTTACAAATTTGAAAATAAGGGACCAGCAGCCTTGAAAATAAGGGATCAGCAGCCAAAATAAGGGACCTGCAGCCTCACCTGTTCCAGGCACTCCAGTCTTCCTGTCCTCCTGCCGTCTGGTCAAACTCATGCTGGGTAGCCTTGAGAACACTGTCCAACCAACTTTGTAACCAGAGGTTCAACTGACTAGAATCTGAATCACATGCACCACAAGGCCTATGCAGCCTCAGCTTAAGATGGCTCCCCGGCCTGGCTTTGCACTGCAAAGTTTGCAGCAGCACGTGCAACAAAATGGCGTCCAGCATTCAAAAAACTCCTCAGCTTGCATTAACTAGCCACACACAAGGCATGCAAGCTCCACCCCCCAGTCGTTCTTAGACTCCTTATTGGGTGAGCAACACAGCCAAGCAACACAGTTGGAGCCTCCCTCCTCCCTGGCCGGCAGGGAGGGAGGGAGAGGAGCTGCTTCCTTTGAAATTTAAGGGACATCATTTAAGGGACATCCATCAATAAGGGACAGCAGCAGGACATGGCACTGGAATAAGGGACTGTCCCTTCAAATAAGGGACACTTGACAGCTATGATTTAACCCTCCCAGCCTTGAAAACCTCCAGATGATGGGGTTGCAGATGCATGTCACACTGCACTCCCTCATCCCCAAATACCTACTTATTTATTTAATATAGTCTACCTTTCTTCCAAACTGGGATTCACGGTGGCTTTAAAAGCATCATTATAAAATGCAAAGTAATAAACCAATAGTTAAAAATACATTAAGACACACTTCAGAACCAGCACTAAAGTGCAGTTTGCTCTGGCAGCAGCTAGGTGGTCAACATCATCTGCACTTCAGTTTTCAGTGGTCTGTCTGATTAATAAGGTCTTATCCTGCCAGAGGAAGGGAAACAAAGAGGAAGTCCTTCTAGCCCAAGCATGTACATTTTTTCCGGTGGTAAAATCGTAAAAATAGCTCAACAACTTCAATCCTAAAAAAAGGTCAACAACTTTGGTCAGCCCTTTGGTTCACTTCATCAAATTTAGCCCTCTTTGAAAAAAGTTTAGACACCTCTGGTCTAGCCTCTCACTTATGGGGGGAGCTTTTAATCACGTACCCCCAATTCCAACAATAACCAATAATATGAGGTGTAGACAGAGCACCAGAGAGATGATTTGAAGGATGAAAGAATAGACACTCACAAATGTTTCTTCCCCCCCCCCTGAAAGAAAGGGAACTATCCCCCCCCAAACCCCCCCCACAGAGGTGAACTAGATGACCCTCACGGTCCTAACTCTATGTTTCTGTAATCTCTTCAACTTTTTTGGGGGGTGGGGGTGGGGAGGGATTGTAACAGAAAAAAGCTGACTTAAGTAGGAAGCTGTAATGCCTGCAACGTTCAACAATGCAGTTTTGTTGTATTGTCTTAGAAAGGGTTTGACTATATTGGTTGCCATTAACAGCGCATGTACTTCACAAATCACCACTGCACCACTGCTCAGGGCAAATGCATACTCTTAAGGCTGCAATGAAACATTATGATAGTTATGTGTCTTTTGCCCAAACTTGAGTTTCCTCTCTCAACATCTTCTGCTATGTGTAATACGATGTCACCTAATGTTACAGTGCCCCACCTCCCTGCTTCCTTGGTTGACCCTTGCCTGGGCTGAAAAACACTTTGCATGCGACAACAAGCCTACCGTAATATTTTGCATTACTAGACGTCACCAGGAAGAGGGAGAGAATTAGGCACTGCGTTTCAGCTTTGGGCAGAGGCACCTCACACCCTGAGCTCTAGACCAGGGGTCAGCAAACTTTTTCAGCAGGGGGCCGGTCCACTGTCCCTCAGACCTTGGGGGGGCAGACTATTTTTGGGGTGTGTGTGTGAACAAATTCCTATGCCCTACAAATAACCCAGAGATGCATTTTAAATAAAAGCACACATTCTACTCATGTAAAAACACACTGATTCCCGAACCGTCCGCGGGCCAGATTGAGAAGGCGATTGGGCCAGATCCAGCCCCCGGGCCTTAGTTTGCCTACCCATGGTCTGCACAGCTAGCCATTATTTGGGTGGGCATATGCCCCTTCCAGCTGTCTGAAGGCCTGCTACCCTGAGGCCAACGCCTCACCTTGCTTCATGGGCAAGCCAGGCCTGAGAGTCAGACAACCTCTTTCTAAACTGAAAAGATACCAAGTGCTCTAGATTAAGATGATCCACCTTACCTGTACATTTACTGGGGGAGGGAACACAGATTCCCTTCGCTGTCTCCCCCTCCCCTCACTCTGAATATTATTTCTATTCCCCCCGAGTTTTGACCAAGAACTGTGCACTACACATGCCATGTGGTTTTAAAATAAAGGGTTTTTGGGTTTGTTTGTTTGTTTGTTTTTTGGAAAACGAAGACGGACATCTAAGAACTTACCAAACATGATCAACGCAATCACGGCCGATCCCAGAATGACACAGGTTGCCCCTAATATCCCCAGCGAGATTTTGTACCGAGCGATTAGCCTAGAATTGCCTGCAAGAATTCAATGTGGAGTGAGGAGACTTAGCCACAGTTCTGACCCTTGGCAGCTAATTCCCGCCCCCCCCCCCCCCGAATACATATTCAACACAGCACTAAGATTGCCATGTTTCATATTTTTGGCATGAGTATCCTGGAAACAACCGTATGTCCTGAATCAGAAACAATCATTATATTCAGGACAGAGAAGCTGTTGTTGTAAACATGCCTTATTGGCCCTCTGCAGGGGCTACCACGCACTAAAGTTTTGCAATGTCTGACTGGCACAGACGGAGGAGACCTCAGAACATACCAAAAAACCCTCTTATGCAGTTTGCAAGCAGCATATGAGCACAATACCACTCTCTCCACTTGTAATCTCCAGTAATTGGTATCCAGAAGTAGACCACAGCAGCTATTATTATTATTATTATTATTATTATTATTATTATTCTTATATAAACAAATTTAAAGAATGCTTCACAGTATAAAGTCATCAAAGCAGTCCCCGTGATTAAAAATAAAGCCAAACACAAGACACAGGTTCTAAAAACAATAAAACTTGCAATGCAACACAATTTCATCAGATACAAAAGGAATCTTCCATAAAGGACTGGGTTAAAACCTTCCAAAACAAAGTCTTCAGTAGGTGACTGAGCATTATCACACATAGCATATCTATCTGATTTTGACTGGTATCTGATTCCAGAGAGCAGGAGCTGCAGCACTAAAGGCCAGGTTTCTAGTTCATGCTAAGCGCACCTCTGGAGTGCATGAGACTTTCAGCAGTGCCCCATATGAGGAGCACAGTTGCTGGGCAGGGCAGGGAAGTGATACAACAGGCCAGAAGTTCCCTCAGCTATCTTGGTCCCTTCTAGGGCATTGCAATTT